GTAGGGTCAAGTGAACAAAAAATTATAGGTAAACAAAAGTCAGGTAAGTCTAATATCATATAAAAATTAAAATCAAGAATTAAAGCTTGGCTATATTATTTCTACAGACCCCTGTGAAATTCATTTTAAGGCAAGAAGAGATAATTAAATTCAGATAAGAAGTGCTGCTACATACCACATGCCATGAAGCTTGACACACTTTGTTCCAGCAACAGGAATTAATACTATTATTACTTCTGGGAATGTCAGAAAGATTCTCTTTGCTTAAATTTCCCATAGGTCTTTGTTAGCATAAATAATGCTGTCCCTTGTAGAGCCTCCACTGCCCAAACTTTGAAGAAAACTCACAGAAAATCTCTAATCTCTACCAAACATTTCTGTAATATTTTGTAGATTCAGGAATAGATGCATGCTTTTTAACAGACAACCAATCTTTGGTGTGCCAACTCTCCCCTTACACATCTGTCAGCCATTTCAAACATCCTATGAAGCAGATGCCTAAAATATCCTTCTGAAGGGAAAGGAGGGATGAAGTTTCTAATCCTCTATTTGCAATCCTTGGCATAATATTCTATTTCAGCAGCAAATCACACTTCTCTAGTTGTTCCCTAAGAACTGTGGCTACAAATGTCAGCGGATCATATAGGAGAGCCAGGTACAGATCTGTCAAACCCGGCAGTGCTGAAGACCCAGCATCCCTTTAACATTTCAGGGTGCCTTACCGCTTAGTTTTTCATGAACAGAGCCCAGATGACACACCCTCGAGAGCATCCTGTAAAGAGAATGGAAAGTGTAGTAAGCCAGGGCTGGTCAGAGATTTCCTTGACAAAGGCATTCCTGACAAAGTGAAATGAGAATGTAAACATATCCTTTGTGAGGATCTGAATGTACCTAGTGGCACATCATGAGGAATGACAGGCAATTAACCCTGTTAACAACTTAGACTGGTGTCCCAACTATCACTACACAGGCTACTAGTGATGGCAAAACATGGGCAGTAGCACATATTTCTAGAAACACCACCTACCCTTACCTGAACCACCTACCTGACTCAGGTGAGAAAGCCTGTGTGAACTGGAATTGACAGAGAACACAAAAAGAGCAATAGCCTAGAGGTTTTCAGTAGCAAAGAGGTTGTCAGTACTCTAAGTGGTTGCCCGGCTAGAGTAATGAAGAGAGCAATTTTTTTCTGTTAAGAAATTCGATTAAAAATGTTACAATTTTAAAAGGTGTTATTTTTCCTGTGGGGAAAAGAAAAAATATGTTGGAAATAGCAATCAGTAGAAGATATAAAGTCAAATGTTAGAGGGATTTCAAAAACACATTTAGAAGAATATATATTGTTTGAAAAGGCCAAGGCAGAAGAACAACATCTTGTATTAACAATAAAATACTGAAAGTTTCTGCTAAGAAAGAAGCTGTTGAACATGAGTGTAAAAAGGAAGAAGAGGAGAGTGAGAATGTAACTAGAAAGATTTCAATTTCTAAAGTGCAGAAAAATTCTGAGAGCCCCAGTATGCCTGCAGTTGGACCAACACTGGTAACCTGCACCTCATAAATCTACCAGAAGTCATTTAAGAATCATTACCCTGGTAGCCAAAGTATCTAGCTATCCCTCAAATCAGGTATTATATGAGTAGAACAGGGCTATAACTAGGCCTGAAAATTTCGCCTTCACCAAGGTGCCCTTTCACAGTGACCCACAGGAATGGATGTGACAGAGCCTCACCGATTACCAACACCACTGCAATGAAGTGTCAAAGAGATCAAAGATTTAAAATGCACTGTGCCTGCGGCTGGAAGAGTCTTGAGAAGAGTGAAGGAGAAAAAGGAGATACATGGAATGGTATAAAGTGTTAAGTAAGTCCTAGCTGACAAAATACTTCTTAATAGTTCTGGACTAAATTTCTGCTTAAGCCTTAAGGTGTCAGGAGTGACCCAGGCCATTCCAGGCTTATCAACCACAGTTATCTAGAAAAATTGTATGTCACAAAGTGAATTTAGAGGGGTCTAACTCCTGGCGGCAAGATGTGACTTAAAATGCCATGCATCTTTCTTGTATTTGGTCATCCTGACCATTCATTGAATTTACAAGTCACTGACTTTCTGAAATACTTCTTTGGTAAAGATAATAGACCTTGTAGACAAAATACAATTAATCAGAGTTTTACTTGTATAAATAGCTTGAAAGTATATTTTCAGTAGAGCTACCATGCACAAAAGCATGAACAATTGAATAAAAACTAGCTTCAGAGTAAATTTTTCTGTGAAGTTCTACCAAGGCAACAGAAATTACAAGCAGTCTTCAGCAGTAATCCTCCTTTCAGTTCTATGTCCACTTGCTCTTATTCACATGCTTTTATTTCCTCTTATGTCTTTGTGCTTATATCTAACATGATAAGGAATACAAAGCATGAAGAGTAAAAAAGGTCCATACCAACTTTTGAATCCTCCACTTGATTCAGTTTTGTAATGGAGAACATTTCTGAGAATATTCTATTCATATGTGCTAGGGCAGTTTGGTAGTTGTGTTACATAAACCAAGGAGCTGGAATGGGAGATGCAGCAAAATTCAAGTTTCTTATATGATGGGAAAACTGATAATTTTTATTTAAATGAATATTTATTTATAGTTGTTAGGAGTTTTGCTCCTATCCGTTATTCCTACAAGGGACTAATTATGTTGTGCCCACATCACTGTGAGGAACTGAATCTGTTTACTCTACCACTAAGTGCTGGGAAGAAAGAACATATTTTGTTTCCTGTTTAAAAAAAAATCTGTTGAAAGCAGCAGGAGCATCTGGCTCCTAGACTTACAGTTTCCCAACCTGCTGAGTCCACTTAAAGCTCTTGAAAGGACAACAACAATTTGGTAATTATCTCTATCCCTTAAACTAAATTTTCTTTTGTGCACCTTACCAGTTGACTGATCTTGTCTGTCTTGTTCCAAACATTCCCAGGGTAGTATTGAAGAAACAAAAGATTAAAATGAAAAAAAAAAAAATTAGCATAGTAAATGTGATAAAAAATAAACAATCATGCACTTTTGGTTTGTGGAGTTTGGGGTTTTTTGTTTGTTGCGGGGGGGGGGTTGTGTTTTTTGTGTTTGGTTGGTTGTATTTTGTTGTTGCTGCTTTGGGGTTTTTTATTACTATCATTACTAATGCTATGGGACAAAGACCCCTGTAATACCCAAAAGCATGTAAAGGAGTAGCTTTTCCATGGATAGTCAGCAAATTAAATCAGAGACACAACGGATGGGCAAAGGTCAATATTATATCCCTCTTTAAAGGTGGAAAATTAAATCACAGGAAAAGTAAGTGACTGGCCAAAGGTCAAAGAGAAAGCCAGTTGCAGAACATGGAAATTGAGAAGCTGTTTCTTATATTCAGTGCCTTAACTACCAGACTACTATTTCTTTAATCTGAAGAGGGAAAAAACCTCAATGGTGGAATAGTATTAAAATTAGTTTTGCTGAGAACAGTCTGAATTTCTCTGTCTCATCCAAAACTGGATATCATTCTGCCTCATTAAAGCAGAAATGAGATCCATGCCAACAACACTGATGTGGTGAAAACAAAACCACAACTACTCTTAGCATTAAAGATTTTTGTACTTCAAAAAATTGGTTTGCAGTTTCGGAGAAACAGTCAAGTCAATTGTTAATTTCATTGTAGCTTTAGAGAAATTAACAATACCACCACACTTGTCTTCAGAAAACTGAAGTTTGGAGCTATATTTGAGAGCTATGAGACCATTGCAGGTGCTTCATCTTCATGTATAATTGTTTCTATAAAAAGCTTACACACATGTATATACATAAACACACAGGAATATACTTACTTATCCACATAAATATACGTACACATGCATGTGTGCGGGCATATAGACAGGGTCGCATAAGCATTCTACACATATACATATTTACATAAACATAAAGACATTACATGCTATTTAGAGAACACAAGGCAGTGCAGGAAAAAAGGCAGAGGTCATTTTCCCAATTCTCTTTCATTATGTGAGACAGTTCCAGATACGATGTGACATTACAGTATAAGCTAACAGAGAGTGGTCACAAGCTCCATTTCTGTCTCTGTGTCTAGGAAGCTCTCTATACCCTGCCAGCCCCAAGGGATTAAGCTTCAATTACGCCATATGCCTGGGCTTTGCTTGCCCTAAACAGTGTCAAGGACAAGGGCTGTCCAGCGAGCCCCATCACACTGTAACCCAGTCACCTGGAATCACTCCTGTCACCTCATGGGCAACGTGGGAAAGTTCACACTGAAAGGCTAAGCCGAGGTCCACTATCTGTGGGTGCCTCATCATCGCAGCACGGCTCTGCCTTGGCAACCTTCCCCGTGTGTGTGGAGGAGCAGCGAGCTTGGCTCCTAACCTTGGGCTGGCCCGGGTGGCTTGGGTCACAGGAATGGCATGCTGCAAGGGGAAGGTGGCGGGGGGGATGGAAATAGCAGGGGCTTCTACCGAAAATATTAACCCGTCTATTTGGAAAGTGATGGCTGCCTTTGAAATCTCTCCTTTTCCATCTATACTTAGCCCCGGGCGGGGAGCGTGCGCCGGGGGTGTGCGGTGGGCTGGGGAAGGGCTCCGTGCGCAGCCCCGCGCCTTTGTGCTCCAGCCGTGCCCAGACGCTGCTCCCGAGCCCCCACCTCGCTGCGCCCCGCACCCACGGCAGCTCGGGGGAGGTGCGAAGTTGGGTTGTACTTTTTTTTTTCTCACTTGTTTTCGGGTTTTTTGGGGGGTTTGTTTTGTTTTTATTTATTTGTTTGTTTTAATTTTTTTTTCTAATTTGTCTCCCACCTCTCGTGTCCCCCCTCCCCCATTTAAACAGGAGATATTCTCAGGACAGCGCCCGGGAGACTGACTGGAATCAGTTTTGGAGGGTGATACACCACGACAGCTAAAAGTTGGATAGGGTTTCAGCAGCTCCTATATAAAGCAGGGGGGACTTATGTCACTGCACTAATTAAATTCCATCTGGGTTGTTCCTCGGGGTGTTTTTGAGATTGCCACCCAACTCAAGCAGGCAGAGGGGCCCAGGGACAGCATGATGGACCTTTTTGAAACTGGCTCCTATTTCTTCTACTTGGATGGGGAGAATGGAGCCCTGCAGCAGCTGGAGATGGCTGAGGGATCCCCGCTGTACCCCGGCAGCGATGGCACCTTGTCTCCATGTCAGGACCAAATGCAGCCAGAGGCCGGCAGTGACAGCAGCGGAGAGGAGCATGTGCTGGCACCCCCGGGACTACAACCCCCTCACTTCCCCGGACAGTGTTTGATCTGGGCTTGTAAAACTTGCAAGAGAAAGTCGGCCCCTACGGACAGACGGAAAGCGGCCACCCTGCGGGAGAGGAGAAGGCTGAAGAAGATCAACGAAGCCTTCGAGGCTCTGAAAAGGCGGACTGTGGCGAACCCCAACCAGAGGCTGCCCAAGGTGGAGATACTGAGGAGCGCCATCAGCTACATCGAGAGGCTGCAGGACCTCTTGCACAGGCTGGATCAGCAGGAGAAAATGCAGGAGATTGGGGGAGACCCCTTCAGCTTCAGCCCCAAGCAGGGAAATGTAAGCACTGCCGCTTGGCCCCTCCGCCGCCACGGCAGCGCCGCCGCGCCCGTGCCCTCCCTCCTCCTCCTGCACGGCAGGGCCGCTGCGGGGGCCGGGAGGGCTGGCGGGCGCGGAGGGCGCTCCTCGGGAACCTGCCGGCCCTCCGGGGAGCCGCGGCCGCCCCGCTAATACCCGTCCTCTCTCCGTGTCTCCCCGCTCCCGCCCGTGTGCCGCAGATCCCCAGTTCGGACTTCCTGAGCACCTGCAGCTCCGACTGGCAAAGCGTTTCTGACCATTCCCGAGCCCTAGGAGTCAGCCCCAAAGAAGGTAACTCGCCCCGCGGGCCCCGCTCGCCTCCCTGCCGGCCCTGCTCGCCCGCCGCCCCGGCCCCTTCCCCCGCCACGACGGCCGCGCTCCCAGCGGCCCGGCTCTCACCCTCCCTCTGCCCGGGCTCTCCGGCAGCCGGAGAGTCTGCTCTTTAATGCCTTTTCTCTCGTTGAGCAGGAGTCTCCGTTGTCGAGTCGTCGGCCTCCAGCAGCCTTCGCTGCCTCTCTTCAATAGTAGACAGTATTTCTTCCGACGATCCCAAACTGCCCAGCGCGGAGGAAGCGGTGGAGAAATAAACCCGGTTTTATGGTAGTATATTTAACGGAGATGGAGCCTCCACCCTCTCTCCTCTAAACCAAGTAATGAAGCAAATTCACACAGTGGAAAGCCCAAGCAGGGCCCTTTTTAAGATCGAATTAAGGTACACCTACCCCAAAGAAAATGGCTCCCACGGACTCGAGCCAGACAGACTTCTCCCTTGCCTTTTTTTTTTTCCCGAGTTTTGTTTTCTTTAAATTGTGTTGCAAAAACCACTCTTCTTTTTTCTGTCTTTTTTTTTCTTTTTCTTTTTTTTTTCTTTTTTTTTTTTTTTTTTTTTTTTTTTTTTTTTTTTTTTTTTTTTTTTTTTTTTTTTTTTCTTTTTCTTTTTCTTTTTCTTTTTCTTTAAGATACTTACCTGTGTACCGGTGATCCGCTTTGTCTGAGACTCACCGGGAAGTTCATTCCTGTCTGAGTGAAGCTCTTGGTTGCATTGCGTGTGAGTCATATTTAAGGAGTCCCCGCCTCATTTCGTTCCTGTAAATAATTTCAGTACTGTCTTTTCTTTTGTAAACATAACATATATATTTAAATGGTGGAATGTGATATTGTATATAAGAACAGATGGATTTCTTGGGTTGTAAAATAAAGCTCTTTGTGTTACAGTGTTTTCCTCCCGTCCTCTTAATTTCATAAATAACCCGATGCCACTGACTTTAGTGAGTGAAGGCCTAAAGAGTCAGAACCATGTAGCAGAAGCACGACTCCTTTGGCTGGAGGGTCAGATTTTTCGGGACAGACATGGGACAGATTTTTCCTTCGTTTACGCCTCCAAGGTTTCCCCTTTAGAGCTGCACCCGCGGTGTGAATCACCCGTGTTTTCGCGGGCTCTCGGGAAAGCCGGGCGGGCACGGGTGGGTGTAGGGACAGGACCCGCCGCCTCTCTGTCCGCCCGCAGCGCTCCGCATCCCCGTTCCTCACCGTGCTTGCGGAACACACGTCCCCCTGGAAAGCGATTCTGCTCCCTAAAATTTTCAACAGTGCCGCGCAAGCACCTTGCCAGGCAAAGATGCTTCGCCGGCATTGCCCTGCACGTGGAAGGTGAGGGTTGAAACGGGACATGAAAGAAGACCATGAAAGAAGATACCCGCGCCCGTCGTCCTCCCACCCCCCCCCCCCCCCCCCCCCCCCCCCCCCCCCCCCCCCCCCCCCGACCTCCTGCCCCGGTCTGTGAGCTGGGAGAGGCTCAGTGCGTCTCACCTTCTCTCGGCACCGAGGACTTGAACGCAGGGCTTGTCTGTGGCAAAACTGACGGGCCTGCTGCACTAACGGGGCAGCAACTGGCCGTGACAGGAGTCCGCTCCCTCTGGGGCTGGAGAGAGCTGTAGTTTCTTCCCAGGAAAGGTAACTCCCCTTGACTTCCTTGAGCCTGAGGGAGAAGGGAATGGGGTCCTTCAGGAAGGAAAGAGTTAAGCGACCGAAAGGGTTTGGGGGTGGGGGGGTTAACAGCACATGAAGCCTTTCACTCAGTGATGTAAAAAAACACAGCCTCTCTGAGGATGGTGAAACGGAGCTGCTCACAGTCAGAGCGTTACGGTTTGTAATAGATTGTACCCCCGGGAAGGGGCGACCACCAGGGAACAGAGCGTTCTGCCCCTAGCACACACACAGGGCTCTCCGGACAGCCTGCACAAGCAGAGGACACTCTCTACCTGCGTGCGGTTTCCTCGCCAACTTTAGCCCTTGATTTATTCTTTGTTTCTGTGTTTTTAAAGGTCACAGTCGTGTTTCGGGAAGGTTCCACTCTTTCTGGCCATCTGGGGCACGGTTACACCCGTCTGAAGTGGAAGCTCTGGGTAGAGCCTTCCTGCCACCCTTTCTGCGCCGCCGTAGCCGGGTTTTTAAACCCTTCATGTACTACCTCTAATTGCTCTCTAACGGGATACTCCCTTGCAAGGACCAATTGCGGCGGGACAGTGTGGTGGGCACAGTGATGCAATACGTTCCCCATTTTTTTTCCTCCTTTCAAATTAAACCCCGTTGCCTCGGGGAACGCTCGGACTCTTTCAGAAAGCGGCGCGTCGGGAGCGCGGGGCCCTTCGTGCCGCCTCTGAGACCTGGCACGGGAGAGGAGACGGTGCAGCTCGCTTCTATGGCAAAGGCACTTGCCCAGTAAGAGACTATTTCAGATCGGGCTAGCAGCTCGTCGACTTCCTTCCTAAGTGGTTTCAAACCCCGCCGAGTCCGCGGGAAGGGCTACACACCGTTCACACGGCGATCCGAGCCCCGCGAGCCCCGCTGCCCGCAGCAGGGCAGGAGCCGGGCTGAGCCACCCCTCAAAGCCACAGTGTCGCGCCCACACCGGGGCAGACGACTGTCAGGTTTACCCGCAGCCGGGCAATCGCCTCAACAATCCGCCCGTCCGCCCGGCAGGACCCCCACGGCAGCGTCTCCTCCAGCAGCAGGGTAACTTGAGCGATTGTTTGGAATAAGTTTGCCTAAAGGAGAGTTTTTTCATTAAATAAAGAAAATACCTCCCGAAGAGACTCTCCGTGACCCCCGCGGCTGCAGCTGACATGCCGGGCTTCCCAGTGAAGGTCGTCAGTGTGTTTGCAATTAAAATGTTTGTGTTAGATATTAATAACGATAATCTTTACTTAAGTCCCCAGCCAAAGCAAACAGGGGCCTGGAATCACAAAATCAAAGGGCAGTAACTGGGTAAAGACGAGAGGTTTGCGATTTAATTAAGTCTTTTTCCGGAGGGACCACGCACAAAGTCATCGAAGTTTTTACGCAATTGCAAGTGCCCCTGCCGCTCCCTCCTCCCCTCTGCGGGCTGGAAATCCCACTCTCAACACAGCCTCCCTCGCCTCTACCTGTTCCGCTCCCCTGGGAATCAACCACGTGCTCATTCCCTCAGGAGCGGAGGGATGCGGGGCTCCGCCGGCCCGCGGTGCGGGGTGCCCGGCCCGGCGTGGCACAGCCCTGCCGCCCGCCCGAGGTGCCTGCAGGGCCGGGAACGATGGGAGGAAGGCGGGGAAAGGGGGGAATGGAGTGCCTGTCTGCAGTGCTGCCGCGTTGACACCGCTTTCCTCTGAAGTGACGCGACCGAGGGTTTAAAGCCTTGTTTTCAGATTGAGGCTTTTCTTTTTGTATTTTTGTTGTTGGGTTTTTTGTTTGTTTGTTTGTTTGTTTTTTGTTTTATTGGTTTTTTTTTGGTTGGTTGGTTTCGGCTTTTATATGGGAAGCGGATAGCCAGCAGCAGGCTTAGCTCATTCTCTGAGCTCGGGGTCAAGGCGGTCAAAAGGCGACACAGCAACTATTTTCACAGGAAAATTCCTGCGTGGACCACTGGTGCTTTGGGGACCATGTACGATTTTTCCACAGTTTCCGTCTTTCTGTGGAGAACGAGCTAGGGATGGTGTAGGGGGCAGGGAGGGAGGAGGCTGAATAATTGAACCATGTGCTCGCTGGGATGCCCCTCCGATAGCAGGAACTAGCAACTTTTCCCAGTCTCAAGGCTGCTAAAAACTCCCTCGTGTCCCTTTGATCTCTCCTGGGAGTCCCGGGGAGCCATCAGAGGCCAATGCCTTCTTCAGCTGTCCTCTATACAATTCCCTCTGGCAGGTACTAATGTGTTTACTTAGGTGCGCACGGTTCCCAGCACTGGGGGGAACCAAACGTTTCTCACACGGCTGGAAGCGCCCGGCCCCACCAGCCCGACTGGGAAACGATTTTGTTGTTGGGGCATCACGGCGGAGCACTCGCTGCCGCTCCCAGCGCCCGCGGAGGCGGAGCGGCTCGGCACCGTGAAGTTCCGCGCTCTCGCCGCCCGCGTGTGCGCTCCGTGGGGGCCCGGGCCGGGCACAGCGTAAAGGCGCTCCGGAAGGCCGGGGCTGAGGTGCCTCAAACACCTCTCACCCCCTCAGTCCGGTGACTTATGGTTTCGGTAGGATTTTCTTCTCTGAAATAGAAAGGCGTGTGACTTGGGAAAAGATGGCACACTCTTCAAACGGTGCCCCCAGGGGCTGGTATCCCTCCAGGAATAGAGCGGCACAACGATTCCTGAGGAGTGGAGAGGGCTGGGGTGAGGAACACTATTTAAAAGGATCCTGACACGTTCACCACTTTCTCTCTAGCAGTCCACAGGAGCAGACAGTATCTGATGCTAAGGCTGCTCCTGCTTTCCAGACTTGAGCCTACTGAAATGCAGCACTATCCTCCCCCTCCCCCCACCTCGCCCTTCGCCAGCAGCCTCATTAGCCAACCTTGTAGTCCGTGTTTTCTCCCCCCTTTCTTTAGTTCCACTCGCCTACTGCATTTTTGCAAATTTGTTTTGAGATCACTTTACCAGAGGAGCCGGGGTCTCCCTTTTAAGGGATACTAATTACTGATTTTTTTTTTTTTTCTTCCTGAGTGACAGGCTATGGTTTCTTCAATTTCCCCAAAAACATTCAAGGAAAAAGGAAATATTTTTTTCCAGCTCTTCGAATACTTTTGGGGGAAAGCACGTTTTTTAACAGCCTCAGCTCCTCTGAGTTAAGAGTCAAATTTGTGCGCTGTGTATGCCAGGAGAGCGGGACTGATGGGCTTGGCGTTATGCACCGGGAGATCTGCAGTGCATGTTTGGAGAGAATCCAAGCATGCACCAACATAGAAAGGTGATCGGAACTGCAACCGGCACTTAAATATCAAGTTTATTTGTGCACGAAGCATAAATATGTAAACAGGTCTATTTTAGCCAGCACAAATGCGGTAAATGAAATTGTGTGTGTGTGTGTGTGCGTGCACGCCACAGCCCAGTGAAGAGTTCAAGTTACTGCTGAGCAGAACCCCTCCTGACTGATGCTGTCGTAGGAAAACAATAGGGAGCTGTCCTGTTTCAGATGTGGCCCAACAAAACAGCAACCTGTACCTCAGAGCGGCAGAAGCCTGAAATTCTGAGCTTTCCCATTCTGTAACTTTACTCCTTTATCAACTCCCTGCTTTTCGTACAGTATTCATTTCAAAGGGGGTTCCCCGTGTTTATGGCCCCAAATAAACCAAAGCAGTGCAGATGTAGCCTTCCCCAGCTTTTAGATTATTTTGCATCCTTTCATAGGAAGAAGGGTATGTTCATGGTTGCTTTTAAGAAAAAACTTTTGCCTAAGAGTAGATATCCGCCTTTGGGGGCTCAGGGGGGGTGGTAGTGGGGAAACAAGGGTGGGTTCCCTCCAGCCCCAGCACAGGCCGAGCTGCTTGCCTCTCTTCGCCTTGCCCCTGCGGATCGGAGGGTTTCCCGGCGGTGTGTCCTGCCACAGGGCATCTCTCTCAGGAAATACTTCCCTACCGGCCTTGCTAACTTGATCAGCGTCTCCTGGAGACAAGCGGCTCACCGTGTCACCACATCACATCTTCCTGAAGAGAGGCTAGCTGGAGGTGCCTTTTTCCTGGGCACACAAACCGGCTCCGTTGCATTTGAACCGCTGCTGGGTCTCCGTTTGAATTAGCCTAGGTCACATAATTTTATTCCCAGGTAGGGAAGGTTTCCTTTGCCTTCTCATAATATTATCTTCAGCTACAAAAGCCACCTGGATGAAAGCAAAGGATTCCTGCGCGCTAGCAAATGCCTGTTAAATGGCTTCATTACCACTCTAATGACCCTTGCACCGCCCCACTCGGCTACTGCCGCGGCTGGGGCTCTGCAAGGCTTTTGTCCCCTTGTGTAAAGTTACTTAGGGATTGCGGGGTTAGAAATTTTACACTTCCAGGAGGGGTTTGTTGCACTGGCAGCTGGGACGCATCTGTAACGGTACAAGTTTGCCTGAAAGCAGAAAATTAGCAAGCCCAAGGCACTGCTTGACTGTTGTGTCCCTAGCAGCTCCAGGTCACAAGAGAAGGAGAAAGAATGGGAAGGGGATTTGTCTCGGAGCAAACACGTACACTTTTTTTTTTTTTTTTTGTGAGTACCTTTCCTTATAATCCATTCCGGCAGCAGTAAAATCTGGTTTCCCTCCTCCTCGTCTCTCCTGGCCACAAGTAGCTGTGCATTGTTGTCCCCCAATTTGTATATTTGAGCGGTTGGTGGCACAGCTTTAATTACTGGACAAAGCGCTCCTCGAGATAAATAAAAACATCCTAGGTCTAAGAAGAAGGCTGTAATTTTTCAGGTTAGACCTGGATCACGGGCTGTGGGAAATAAAGATATGCAAGTAGACACTGTAGGTGTCCCTCCCGCGGAAACCTGTGATGGGAAACGGGAGATGGGAACACCGAGACGAGGAAGGGCTCTGTAGGAGCCACTGAGAAGCGGTTCGTGCGCGCCCACTGCCCCTCTTTCTCTTTCCGTACCAAACTGCAAATTCACAGACTTGGGTGGGAATTAGGAGATGTCGCAACCAGTGCTTGGGGGGTCGTTCGTTAGAAAAGTGCCCATCTCTCGGAGCTCTAAAGGAGCGGTGCGGAGCAAATTGTCTCCTGGGGACTGGAGGGGGCCTGCCCAGACAGCTCCCGGCAGGGGCTGTGGTGGGATATGCTAATAAAGACTGGCCGCTGCGGACCAGCCTCCCTTTCCATGTATATATAAGGGCCCCCTGCATCAGCCAAAGGACACTTGGTCTCGGGTCCCTAATTACGGAGCAAATTGCCCCAGCGCGCTGCGGAGCGCCTCGCCGAGAGCCGGTGGCCGCCGTTCCGTAGTGACGCCTCCGCAGCAGGGATGGAGGTGATGGACAGCTGCAAGTTCTCCCCATCCGAACTCTTCTATGACAGCTCCTGCCTCTCCTCCCCGGAGGGCGATTTCCCCGAGGATTTTGAGCCCAGGGATTTGCCTCCTTTCAGCGCCCACGAGCCCCCCGAGCCCGCCTGCTCCGAGGAAGAGGAGCATGTCCGAGCTCCCACTGGCCACCACCAAGCTGGTCACTGCCTCATGTGGGCTTGCAAAGCCTGCAAAAGAAAATCCACCACAATGGACCGGCGGAAGGCAGCCACCATGAGGGAGAGGAGGAGGCTGAAGAAAGTGAACCAGGCTTTTGAGACCCTGAAGAGATGCACCACTGCCAACCCCAACCAAAGACTCCCCAAGGTAGAGATCCTGAGAAACGCCATCAGATACATCGAGAGCCTGCAGGAGCTCTTGAGGGAACAGGTAGAAAACTACTATCACCTGCCGGGACAGAGTTGCTCCGAACCAACCAGCCCCACTTCCAGCTGCTCCGATGGGATGGTAAGACAGAGGCAGGAGCCATAGGGCTGTGGGGACCCCAGGTCGGCCCACGGGCAGGTCCCTCTCGGCCCAACGCCGTGGGACCAGTCCCATGGGTGTGGGACGGGCCGAACGCATCCGGACCTGAGGAAAATGCGGGCGGTTTGCCCTAGAACAGGCCCTTTCCCAGATTTTCCGCTGAGCAATCTCACGGGCTTTCCGGGGATGCATGGGGGGCCGTAGCGCTGCCCGAGGGCACCCTGCAGCGCCCGGGTCCCGGGGTCCCAGTGTCCCTTCTGCTGTCCCCTTAGCACGGCATTAGAGGGGTAAGGCTGGGGCTGGGGGAGAGGAGGAAGGCGCTGCCCAGGGCCAGCAGCCTGGATGGGGGGCGGCTGCTTCGCTCCCTCCCCGCCGGCCTTTATGGCCCTTTCCCTTCTCGGGGAGCGTCCCGCTGGCCCCTGGGCGGGGGCGGCAGGGTCGGCACTCGCCCCTCGCTGTCTTGCAGGCCGACTGTGGCAGCCCCGTTTGGTCGGCGAGAGGCAGCAGCTTCGAGGCCGTCTACTGCGCGGAGATGCCCCACGGTAAGCCTGGCTCGGCGCGGCCGGGGGCGGAGGGGGCCGGGCAGCCGCGCTCCCCGAGCGCGGGGAGGCAGCGCGGCGCCCGCGGTAACGCGCGCCCGTGTCCCCGTCCTCCGCGCGGCGCAGGCTACGCCGCCGACCCGAGCAGCGCCCTGTCCAGCCTGGACTGCCTCTCCAGCATCGTGGACCGTCTCTCCCCGGCGGAGGAACCGGGGCTGTCCCTCCGCGACGCCGACTCCCTCTCGCCCAGCACCAGCATCGACTCGGGGCCGGAGACGCCCGGGACGCCGCTGCCCCGACGGACCTACCAGGCGCTATGAGTGCCGGCACCCCGCGCCCGGCCCCTCCTGCAAACGCTTCTCGGGCGAGAGGGGCAGCCCCGGAGCCCCTTGGGCCGCCGCTTCCCTCTGGGGCTGCGGGCAAAGCGCCGGCCGGGGATTTCCGCACCCCGGCCGGGCGGGCAGAGCCCGGGGCTCGGGACACGCGCGCTGCCCTGGAATCCCCGCTGCAAATAAAGCATGCTGTGAGAGAGATGTCTGGCCGGCTGGTTCTTAAAGTGCATTCCCTAGCATGAGGGAGGGCAGCGAGACTCGGCTGCGGGCCGCCCGCCAGCATCCCTGCTGGGCCCCCACCAAACCTCGGTCGCCCCTGGGCTCCTGCCTGCGGGGTACGCCCCTCCCTGCCCCAGCACGGCAGTCCCCAGCCGGGACATGGGGTGTCTTGCCGGGCTGGGGCCTGGGAGCTTGTCTCTCCTTCCACCAGTGTGTAGTATTCTGAGACCACTCATGGAGCAACAAAAACGTGGACGTTTAAATTCTTACACTGTATGTCCTGTCATGGGCAGAGTTTCCTTTATTTTCTGCAACAGCAAAAATATTTCAAAGTCATATATTTCCATCCTTTCCTCCCTGCCTTCCCTTTCCATCCACACCTGAAAAGCTCAAGTTTCTTTCACTGGGTGTGAAGATGGACTGTGTATTCCAGAATTTGACCCTAAAATTGCATGGTGACTCTCCTCTTAGAGCAACTGTATCTAGCTCTGATGCTGTGCTAGGGAATTTTATTTGTTGCTCTGGCAGAGACAAATTTAGTAAATTTAGTAAGAACAAACCACATGTGTCTCTTTCATAAGCCACGAGGTATATTTCACAATATTCATAAAGCAATATAGATTTATTTGCTCCTAATGACTTTGGTCTTAGCAAACAGGATGCAAATTGATTCTACATGGCTCTAGAAATAACCAGGTCAAATCTTCATGTGTTTTCAGACTTAACAAATACTTCCTTCCAGGCATTAAATTAGCCAACCATCCCCACCCACACTCCTTCCCCCCCACCCCCCCAAAAAAAAAAAAAAAAAACCCAAACAAAAAAAAGAAAAGAAAAAAAAAATAAAACAAAACAAAACAAAAAAAAACCACCCAAACCAGATGAGATGGAGAGATGGACTCTTTCAGTTAATTTAAAAAATGTTTCATATGATAAATATTCTGAGTGGGAAGGGATATATACACCTCCCTATTGTGGGATAAGAATGTATTTGCCATTTGTGTTTGTGTTGCTAGCACTCAGTGGCCAAGGGGCCTGGCAGTGATATTTCACCTCTGATAAATCTTTCAGTTGAACCCAGCCCAGCTGAGTCATGTCACCAAAAGTTATCATCTGACTAGCCTTTGGCAGCATCTCTGAACCAAAGATAAAAGAAGCCCTTGCTTAGGGATGGCTCTGTTCCTGTAAGCACACTGAGGGTCTCTGTCCCCCGACAAGGGATCACAGGGAAAGTGAGGTGGCACCTGCCTTCCTGAGCCTGCAGCACGGCAGTAGCAGGTGTGTGTCTGACAAAGGGCAAGGCCAGCCCACTCTTTGTGCAGTTTCCCTCAAAATTACTTCTTGCCCTTGCCCATAGCCTTGAGGTAAGTGTTCTTTTCTTGCAGAATATTTCAGGAGGAGCCTTGACCAAAAAGGGCTTTCTGTGTATACAGATATGTCTGAACTAATCAGGGAGTAGAAGAAGTGGTTTCAAACCCCTGAGTTGCAGTTGTGCAGAGGTATAAACAAGGTATTCTCAAACTCCTATCATTGCAGATGTTTCAGCAGAATGGAAGTGCCTTAACACAGACATAGTCTTGGTTCTGGGGGATCACTTCCCAAGCCTTCTGTTCACAGGAATCCTTATGCAAGACCATGAATGTCACTGGTTTTATTTCCTGGCTTCTCACACTCTGCTGCAGTGTTGCAGTGTTTGCTCCTCTCAATCAAAATACCATCCCAAGGATACTTCTTATGCCCAGGATTTAATAGAGTGCAAATGATTTGAAATGGTATTTTAAAGTGAGCTAAGCTAGAGAACTTTCAGCATTTCATTCTGCACACTGCTGACCTTGGCAAGTGATCTCGGATGAAGTATGCAGAGTAACACTAGCAAATCACATGCTGGTAATGTACACCTCTCTTTGGCTGGCAGACATTTTAGGAGTTGCAAAAAGGTCAATACTTCTGAGAAGCAGATTTTTAGTGTGAGGAGAAGCATTCTGTCTGTGGGATGTCTCTTCATAGCCTCCTAAGTCCTAGTACAGTAGTTTACAACCTGTAGGTTTTGCTATACACATCTGGGAAACAATATCTTTATTACAGGACGCCTACAAAAAAAAGCTACCGTGAGCTGAAAAGTGCAATAATCCTTGTAAGGAATGGAAGTGAGCACCATGAAACTGCCTTTAGTCTGTGGATTGAGAAGAACAAAAAGGCTGTTGGGAGATACACCGTTCTGGTCAGATTATACATATTTAATAGTAATATTAATAAGTGCAACTGAAAAGAAAGATTTGTATTCTATATGAAAGATGTTCATTTAAGGAAGGCTGTGCCCAGAAATAAATAACAAAGTGATGGTCTAGAAAATCTGAGCTCCACCTATCCCAACTACGTGTCTAAGTGCTTAAGGCTCTGGGGCAGTGTGTAGTGGCCTCACAGGCAGGCGAGCAGGTGCAGGGATGCCTCATGGTGTCAGAATAATGAATAAAACACAGAAGGTGTGTTACAGCAAGTTTTCTGACTACCACTCACTTCAAGGAAGGGCATCATTCTGTACACTTTTTAGAATACAAAAATATTGTATTTTCTCTCTGAAAACCATGCTTATTTGGCTTAAATTATGACTGAGGGAGGCAGCTGAGCTGTATTTTTTTAATGTGTGAAGTCTCTTGTATCTTTTTGTTAATAAATCAAACAGAGATCTTTAGTGAAATACATATTTTAAATTCAGATCAAAAGAGACATTTGTACATTTCAAAACTAACCTAGAAACCTGGAAAAGGTATCTTAAATGTAACATCAAGACAAAAATCCTGCTTTCCTAATGTTCACATTTCTGGAGTTGCTTGTGTGGAAGAACACTAATTTTGCCTTTAGGAAAAGATCAAGTTCTTTCTTTTTATAAGGCTTAAGGTTAATAAGGCTTAAAAGTGATAGATTTTTAGTAATTAGTTCTTAGAGGATGAAGGGAACTTTATTTGTAGTGCTTGTCTAAATATGTCTAGGAACATCTCAAATTCATAGCTACATTTCAGTGGGAATTCAGCATCTCTCCTTCCCAGTTCACCCTGCTTGTTAGGAGCAGTCAGGCTTCACCACAGCAGGCAGCTCACCTCTCCCCACACTAAACCTCCTCCCTCACTCCCTTCTTCCCTGCTTTCCTTCTCCATTTTATCCTCTTCAGAACCCTTGACTCGCTCATCACTTCTCCCTGCTCCTCTCAGCTGGCCCTTGGCATGCTGGAGGACTCACAGCTGGCCAGCTGACTTCTGACCTTTGGCAGGTCCTGCATGGGGTATCAGCCTTACAGCTGGCCACAGCTGCCTTCCTGGCAACTAAAGGCCTAATGAGCTTGGCCAGCTGGAGACTGGGCTGGAATCCTGCTGGCTGATTTGACCCTATGCAATGGATTGAGGGGTTCACCCCCAAATGTGGAGTGAGTGAGCGGTGCATCTGTCTATGTGCTGCTGACCCAGGGCATTAGAGCCAGGCTTCTCCTACAACCAATTGGATTACTGGGATGACAAAAAAAAAAAAAAAAAAAAAAAAAAAAAAAAAAAAAAAAAAAAAAAAA